GGAAGCCAAAAGCAAAATAAAGTGTGAAAAGCTTGAGGGTGCTGGTTTTCAACCCCCTCCTGGGAACTTTCAAGGTAAGATTTGAAGCCAGCCCCCTACACAGAGGGCAGGGAGAAACCAAAGAAAGATTGGACGCCACGTCCAGGTTAGAAGGTGGCAGTTGTAATAAACAAGGGGAATTTACATACCAGGCTTGTCTCTGGCGGCAGCAAGACGACAAATGGATCCCCACACCCACCAGCGGAACTTTAACAGCTTGTAAATAGGCCTTAAATGGGTGCAGTCACGCAGACCATGCAGGTGTTTTCAATACCACGTTACTATCTCAAGGCTGTATTCCTTGGAGCAGCCTCTGGGAGCGGGAAAGGAGAGCGGAACCCACATTCCAAGGACAGGGAAGGTGCTAGCAGCCCCTGAATGCCCGGGTCCAGCTCCAGGGTCAGTGGGAAGTCATCCTTTTTTGATGACTTTTGACGTTCCCCAACAAGAGGGAAATGAAAGACATATTCCCTTTGAAAAAGAGGAGGGGAGAAGGAGGGAGGAAAACTGAAAGCTAAACTTTTTAGAGAAATGGTAGAAGCACGAGAACAATTACATCTTAAAGGTGCTTGAAGACATTTCACGGACAACCTAGAATTCTACCCAGAGTTATCTTCAAGAATGAAGGTGCACAGAAGGTTACCAATACATTGTATCAATGTCCGTTTCTTGGTTTTGTGCGGTACTGTAGTAAGCCCTGGGTGAAATTAGATAAAGGGTTCACAGGACCTCTCTGTACTATCTTTGCAGCTTCCTTGAATCTAGAATTATTTCAAAATTTAAAAAAAAATTAAGTGGAAAAAAAAATGAAGGTGGAATAACTTTTTATGACCACCCCCCCAAAACAAGCAAACAAAAAACCCCCGACCCCAAACCCACCTGAAACTGTTAAAATTCATCACCAGCAAACCTGTAGTAAAAGAAGAAATAAAGTTTTTTAAGCAGAAAGAAAGTCAATGCTAGTATAGGCATAGTGCTGAAGAAAGGAATGAAGGGCACAGAAAGAATGAATGTCTGGGGAACTAGAGCAGGTGCAGTAGTTGAGGGAACAGCTTTGGGAAATAATTAAGAAATAGAGTTGGTCTACATTAATAGGCAGATGATAATCCTATCACCTCCACTGCCTGAAGCCTCAGATTAAAATGAGAATGAACTGAGTACTCTCTTGTAGAATCTTCCAAAATAGCAACTTTATTGAAGTATAATAATTTACATACACACAATTTAAATCTACAGGTTGATGACTTCTGACAAATGTAAACACTTGTATAACCACCACCCCAATCACAGTACATGATGATTTCCTTACCCCCAAGAAATGATCTCTTCTCTTCCCCTTTGCCTTCAATCTTCTCCAATACTCCACTACAGGTAAGGTTCACAGAATGGCAGGAATGTCACTGACTTGCTAAATCCCAATCTACTGCAGAAGAAAAATTTCCTGAAATTTATATAGACTAAGAATATTTTAACAATACGACAGTTTTGGATCTTTAAAATTTTTTCCCAGGTCATACTTCTTTTTTTTTAAGATATTATTTTTAAGTGATCTCTACACACAACATGCTCCAACTCACAGCCCCAAGATCAAGAGTCCCATGCTCTTCCAAATGAGCCAGCCAGGCGCCCCGCCCAGTTCATATTTCTGCCTTCCAAGTAGCAAACTACAATCTATAGTAATCAAGAAGCTTCCAAAAACATTTTTTTACAAAAGGAGTTTTTGATTGTTCCCAGTCTACAATCCATAGTAATCAGGAAACTTCAAAAAATAAAATTCTTACAAAAGGAGTTTCTGATTATTCCCACAGGGATATTCTTTTTTTTAATTATTATTTTTGTAATGTTTGTTTTTATTTTTGAGAGAGAGAGAGAGTGCACGAGCAGGGCAGGGGCAGAGAGAGAAGGACACACAGAATCAGAAGCAGGCTCCAGGCTTCAAGCTGTCAGCACAGAGCCTGATGCAGGGTTCAAACTCATGAACTGCAAGATCATGACCTGGGCTGAAGTTGGATGCTTAACTGACTGAGCCACTCAGGTGTCCCGCCACAGAGATATCCTTGATCCTTATTTTTTGATGTGCTGTTTGGGGAAAATGCTTTTGACCATTCCTAATATTTTCTATCCCCCTTTGGAAGAGATATCTACTAGCATAACACACTTAAAAAAATTTTTTTTAATGTTTATTTATTTTTGAGAGAGAGAAAGAGAGACAGAGAGAGAGCACAAGTGGAGGAGGGGCAGAGAGAGAGAAGGAGACACAGAATCCAAAGCAGGCTTCAGGCTCTGAGCTGTTAGCACAAAGCCTGATGTGGGGCTCAAACTCACAAACCGTGAGATTATAGCCTGAGCCGAAGTCAGACGCTTAACCAACTGAGCCACCCAGGTACCCCCATAACACACCTTTCTTAGCCTTCACTCCTTCCTTCCCTAGAAGTAATAAATTAGCTGATGGTAAGTTTGGAGGGGAAAACTAGATATATAGTAATATTAGCTCGGTACCTTAACAAAGTACCATAAACTGAGTGGCTTAAACAACAAAAATTGTTTCTTTCACAGTTCAGGAGTCCAAGATCAAGGTGTCAGCAGGGTTGCTTCTTTTTGAGAACTGTGGGATTCCTTCCATCTCTCTCACTTAGCTTCTGATGGTTTGTGGGCATAACCCACTTGGATTGTAGAAGCATAACCCACTTCTCTGTTTTTATTTTCATATGAGGTTCCTCCTGTGTGCTGTCTGTATCCAAATTCTTCTTTTTAAAAAAAAAAAAAAATAAGGATACCAGTAATATTGGATTAGAAGCCCAGCCTCCTCCAATATGACTTCATCTTAACTAATTACACCTGTAACAACCATATTCCCAGGTAAGATCACATTCTGAGATACTGGTGGTTAGGATGAATTTTTGAGGGACGCACTTCAACCCGTAACAGAAATCCCAGCCTTTTGCCTTCCCCTTTCTCTTGGGAGTGAGTCTGCCCTCAGTGCTCTGGGCTGCTCTTGGCCATGCTATAAATGGATGGAGACAGGCCTACTCTCACTGCAGAGACCAGGGACAGGGAAGGGGAGTGTCAGATTCTGGGATTCAGAACATGAAAGCACATGTCCACAAATATGTGTCACATACTCTAATATCAGCTCCTTCATTGATATAGGTTAATATTTTTGTTCTCCCATATGCCTTCTCTTTTTGTCATCTCCTCGGTTGATTGAGAACTTGGGAGGGAAAATATGTGTCGACGCCTATCCTCTCCACTAAAAGTTGTAACAGTGCCACACACCCTACATCTGGGTGATTGGATTATTGAATCCCTTCAAGTGGAAATATGAAGGGAAAAATCTCAGTATGGACTTACCACAATCAACTGGGGAGTCTTTACATGCTTAGACAGAAGAGACTTAGATATGGGAGACGCCAGTATGCAACATGTCTTCCATCTGACAGAAGGAATGGGGTGGAGGGAGGCAGACTATTTTGATGGGTGTGCGGTGAGAGTTGCCCCAAATCTCTTGCAGTACTAGGCCTTACAAAGAGTTGCCACTAATTGGGAAAGAACCAGAGGAAAAGGAATAATTTTGTGAGAAATACGATAAATACAGTCAGGGCACACTGAGTTTGAGAGTCTTGGGGGGAAAGGCCAGTGAAGAAGTTCATCTGTCCTTCAAGGAAGGTGTGTAGGGACTCTCACCACACCAGTGGCAGCTGAGCTCATGGGAGAAGATAAGATTACCTATGGGGATCATGGGAAGGAGGAGAGGGAAGAGGGCTGAAGATGAATCCTGGTGAAAAGCAAAGTATAGGAGGAAAGAAGAAGACAAAGACTTCCAGAAACACTCAGCGAAAAACTTCAACCACCAGAGTGCAGATCTCCCACCGTGACTCGAACATGCCCTTTTCCAAGACTGAAGTCATACCTTTGGGAGCCCTGTCTTTGCAAAGGGCTGTGTCCGTGCTGACTTTGGCGCTTTACCAGCTCAGCTCGCAAAGTGGTTCCTCCAAAGTGTCTCAGAATTTGTCTGACATCATTCATATGCTAACAAAATATATTAGCTAAAATATTAATCATAAATCATTGTGAAAGGCAGGGAATACAGGAGGCAGGGAATCAATTTAGAGGCAACTGCCATAACCAGACGGGATCATAAGCGCCAAAAGGTCAGTGGAAGAAGCAGGGAGAGTGGACGCCTCCTTGAGAGACATTACAAAATGTGTGGCAAACGTATTATTTGCCTGACCCATAATTTCGTGCCTCCTACCTATAAATTATTGCTGAAACAAAGTCCCAATGTCCCAGTCTCCCCCTCCAAAGAAACCTCAGCTTCTGAAATCTTACCCTAGACTCATCTGGTAAGACTTACATTGTAAAAAGAGTCAGCACAGGTGTATACAAGGTCTCTTCTGTGTTATCTGGGTTGGATCTCTTAATGGCCAAGCAGAGGAATCATGATCTTTGCTCTCGCTTCAATAAAGTGGACATAGAGGCTTTCTGGAGACATGAACAGCAATGTTCCCAAATGTTTAAATATACATTGACAAAGGCAGGGCAGTACCTTTAAAGGAAGTGGCCTGAACGTCCTGACTTGTCAATATTATCTTTTATTACAGATCTGTTGGGGACAAATTTTTTTCCCAAATGTTATTTAACTAGATGGAATTCAATTAAATTTGATCTTTGGTGGAAATAGCTCTCTGTATTTAATATAGGACTCACAACTGATTAATGAAACTATTTTGCAAGCAGGTATTCTTACCTTGAAAAGTTCATATTTAATTTGAATGAAACAGATTTCCACATTAAATGATACATTTAACTTTCTATATGGAAGTAAACATTGGCTTTTTACATTTATAGGAGTTCTTCACTATCAAAGTGATGAAGTGAATGATAAATATCATTAAAGTATCCAGCACAAATGTTTCCCCAAATCATTGCTTTGTTATTTATGGATTTATATCTGATCCGATTCAGGAAAACCAGTGTGTTCTGGCCATTAGTTTTCTCATGGCCCCTTTCACCTCCTTGTTCCTCAGACTGTAGATGAGGGGATTCAACATGGGGACCACCACTGTATAGATGACAGAGGCCACTTTGACCTGATCAGCTGAATAACTGGACTTGGGCATCACATAAACGAACAAAACTGTCCCATAAAACAAAGTGACGGCAGTGAGGTGGGAAGTGCAGGTTGAGAAGGCCTTCTTCCTCCCCTCAGTAGAGCGCATATTCAGAATTGAGTGGAGGATGTAGCTGTAGGACACAATTATGGTAAACAGTGTGCTTATGAGGACGGATGCAGAAGAGATGGCGGGAGATATTTCAGCAATAAAAACATGGCCACAAGAAAGCTTCAAGAGTGGAAAGAGGTCACAGAAAAAATGGTTGATTTTATTTGGTCCACAGAAAGATAGATTCATCAGACAGCCTGTAAATGATGAAGCGTTCATGCATCCACCCAGGTAGGAAGCCCCCAGTAGGAGGAAGCAGACCACTGAGGACATCTGGGTGGAGTAGAGTAAGGGAGAGCAGATGGCCACATAGCGATCATAGGCCATGGTAGCCAGCAGGAAGCATTCTGTAGTCCCAAAAGTGACATCAGAGCCAAGCTGGGCTATACAACCAGTGATAGGGATAGTTGTTTTCTCTCTTAAAAAACTCATTAGCATGATTGGCGTGACTGACGTGGAATACCCAATGTCCACAAAGGCCAAATGGCTAAGAAAAAGGTACATTGGGGTGTGCAGCTGTGGGCTGCTTCGGATTAAGATGATTATACTGATATTTCCCACTATGGTAACTACATAAACTCCCAGAAAAATAACAAAGAAGATGGCACATAGTGTGGGATTATCTGTTAATCCCAGAATAATGAACTCTGTCACTGCTGTGTGGTTTTCCATCTATTCATTTAATGGTGGCTATTGAAATCAGAACCAGAGATTAAAATGGTTGAAATTACCCCACATTAATGGGGTATCTTAATTTAATGACGATACCTGTAGAGAACCCTACAATTAAAATGTTTAAATGGTAACTTTGCCCTCACTTCTAGAATACTTTGTGCACACAAATTTTCTTTTCAAATTCCATGAATATATTAAAATTGGAGACTCGATTACCTTAGAATTCAGCTATTTTACTCCTATACTGTATGAAATACTGTAGAGTAAGTCTTCCCCAAGTGTACAAGAATATGTAAAATGATGTTACAGCAATACTGATTGTAATAACATAAACTGTAAATAACCTAAGTGATTATAGAAAGGTCAGCTCTTGATTTTCTACCCTCATCCCAAATGTGCCTCTGCACCAGTATTCTCTTTTCAGTAAATACTATCACCATTTATCCAATTACTGGACCAAAAAGTATCGAGTTGATTTTGACATGTTTTTCTGACTTGATCCTTTTCCTGGAATGAAAAAAAAATCACATCCTTAGTTATCATTGATACCAAGGGCTGGAAAGTGTCTATGTTCAAGCTGAATGGGCCAAACACGATTTTTCTTATTGTTATGAGCTAAATCCAGTAGATTTTGCAAAATCTTCCAAGATTTATCTCTCACATCATACTTTTTCATGCTTCTTGGATTACATGAAGCAGAGAAGAGTCCAGGTATTTTTATGGACTGGGATTAATTGGAAAGTGAACTGAAGCATTTGGAGACCTACATTGGTAAGTGATGGTTTCATCGGTTGTGGTATGAAACCATAGGGAAATAAGAAGTGGGGGCATATGATGGTGATGGGGGGAGAGAGTAGTTAGAGAGGTGTGGATGGAAGTAGCCAGCTAGGGAGGCTAGGAAATTGGATTGGAAGAAAAACGATCATTTCGGAATAATATTCCCTTGGTTCAAATTAGAGCACATAATCAAGGACAGGGGAGAGTATGTTAGTTACATTCGGCCATTTCCATGGCTTTTCTAGATTAAAGAGCAACATATTCTTCTGAATAATTTGATTTTTCTTGAAGAACTTCAATCTGAAGAATTAAGAAAACATACATACATAACTATCAGCAAGCATGGACATTTCCCCAAAAGTTGTGTGTGAATCATGACCATGATATCCTACAATATGAGCAGTACTAGGGTTATGTGTCTGAATTCTCACATTCTGGCTTTTGTTTTTTTTTTTTTTTTAAATAAGACAAAGCCTCAGCCTGAAAAGAATTACTTTAGAAAAAATAAGTGTATGAAAGGCACAAAAGCTTTCAAAGTTGGATATGAGTGCCAGGAGGGAAGGCAAAGTGATGTGCACAAAGACCACGGACTTTGCAGCCACACAAACTTGATATCAGTTTCTAGCTCTGCCTCTCACTATCTATGGAATCATAGGCACATTGAAAGACATTGTTGACCTTCTGTTTCCTCTCCTATAAAAAGGAAATAATGATACATACCTTATATGATTCTTGTGTTAAATGATATGATGTGGATGAAAATACCAAGCACTGTGCACACAACAAATAGATGCTCAATTACTAGTGATGAACTTGAAATAATCGACTGTAACTTCTGGTATCTGCAAGAGAATCAAATATTTCAGTATCCCTTAACAAAGAACAGTATAAATTAGGGACACATCCATTACAACACTAGGGATAGGCTCCAAGGAGTTGTCACTGTAAAGCAGTGCCATATTTAAGTGAGGCTTATGTCATTTGAGATAAGGCCCAAATCACTTACGTCACTTGTAATTACAAGTTAATTTCTTTATTTGTCCTGGAAAACTACACTGAGAATCCACTGGGATAGAGAAATTACATGTGCATATCTACTGGGACAGAGAAATAGCATGTAAACCTGATTATGTAAAAGTGTGTGAATGAAATACTTTCTCAATACTCTGTGGTTCCTTTTATTTTTTTAATTAAATATAATAATTAAACATTTAAATTTAAATAAACTGAAAAATATTATAATATTTTACTACCATTGAAGTTGATTATTAGATCAACATGACTAATATGGCTGTGACAATTTGTGACATTTCTGAAGTATGGCTATATTCAGTGGCCCAGGTTTTCATGTCACCTATGTTTAGAGATAATGTGGGTTTCCTAGTACAGTTTAACTTATAAACATGAGTCCATTGGAATTGCAATATTATTTTCAACATAAGTGATGTAACTTTTAAAAAATCATATGTATTTTTTACATGTAATGTGGATCTAGGACACTTCACATACATCCCATGCTTATTGGTGGCAAAGATTATCACGCACATGCTATTCCCTCTCCCCTTTGCCAACCTTAATCCATCAACTCTTAAGAAAACAATGAATCTCACACTAACATTTTTCTTAGAACCCTGCCTACCACAACTTCCACATTGACTGGCAGATTGTCAAAGATACATGGCCACAATCAACTCTGGTTGTATTCTTGGACCATGGCCACATAGCAGAACATTCTCTAAGGTTGAAGGTCAGGTACCTTTGATTCTGGGCTTGAAGAGCCCATTAGTCAATAACCTTCAGAACAAAGCTAAATGTGATAATTCATATTAGGAGGTTCTAACAGCTCAAACACCTCAAAGCCACCAAATTAGGAAATGGGCATACTATGAGACTCCCTCTGTCCTAGAAAGATACTATTCCTTTAGGTTTTTTTTTAAATATGAAATTTATTGTCAAATTGGTTTCCATACAACACCCAGTGCTCATCCCAAAAGGTGCCCTCCTCAATACCCATCACCCACCCTCCCCTCCCTCCCACCCCCCATCAACCCTCAGTTTGTTCTCAGTTTTTAAGA